GTAAATAATCCTGAAAAATACAAATAATGGAGAAAGTCGGGGAAACACTTTCCTTCTTAACCAAAGGTTGTCATAATATTTGACTCTTAACATCAAAATTCTTACTTCTAATAGAAGAAATATAAGAATTTTTAATAAACAAGTTATAAAGAGATTATTAATAACTCAGTTACATCATTCACAATTTTCAAATAATATATTAAACCAAGAAAGAATCAATATGTTAACCCTAATAATAATCTAAATCTATAAAGCAATTAAGCATCATTGAACCCCAAATTCCAAACTTTGTAAAATCCTCCCAAACACCGTAAGGGCCAAAACTCCCTCCCCAATATTTCCCTCTCTTTCCCACTTTAGACATTTTTCCGTTTTACGTACAAATAAATCCCAAGGGTAAAACCGTCAAACTTACTCAGATAACCGGGGGTTTATGAAGGGGTTTAGCTCCGCCACCACCGCGGCGCACCTCCACAAAACCCCACTCTTCTCTTCGAACTTCTCCAATAATAATGGCGCCTCTCCTCCTCCCATTTTAGTCCACCGTCGCTTCTTGAAATTCCATTTTTGCCCCTCTGGGCCCTCCGCCTCCGCCTCCGCCTCCGCCTCCGCCACAATGTTGAAACTCCTCCGCTTGCCGCGCGTCCATTGCCTCACTGCCGCGACGCCGACTCCCCGAGTGAGGCCCGTATCTAACTCGGTGATTCAGGCGCTGGGTCGGCTTACCGGGTTGTCTCGGGGGAACCATAGTAATTTGGGGTTTAGGGCATTCTTCTGTTCCGATTCGAGTGATGGGTCGACGCCTGAGGCTGTAGTTGAGGTCGAGGTCAGGGCAGAGGAGTCCGAGTCAGACGGTTCCGACTCCAAGTCCTCGTCGGCTATCGTGTCCACTCACCCCAGACCAGAAGATTATTTAACGGTGCGCGAGTTGGAAAGTTTTTCATTCTTTGTTCATGGGCCTGTTTGATTGTAGAGAAAGAGATTGAAATGAAAGGAAAATGCGTTTGTTTTGGTTTTCTATGATTCCTTTGCTGCTAAGGGTCGATTAAGCTCATATTATCGAATTATGTATCAATTTTTAGTATGGCTTAAAAATTCAAATGAAAATTTTCAGCTTGAAGAAACACATGCCTGCTAATTTGGCTGAAGGATTTTCATGGTACAATTGTCTCTTATGCTAGCGTTTATATATCAAGATCATGACCTATGTAAAATTATTAGAAAAGGAAGCACATTTCCTCCTGCTATGTTTTGGGAACTTTACTCTTAACAGAAGTTGCAGTGGGTTATGGGGTGCAACTTAATTCCTTTCATCATTAGTTTCTGTGTATAAGTGGCCCTCTACTTCACCAATGTTGAGAGCAATGTGGTAGATCTTTTTGAAAATTGATTTATCCACCATAAAGCTGGCTGATCACGTTGATAGCTATTTTTGATGGTGACAATAGAATTTGTCTCTCTGCTGTTTTCTTATTACTTATTTATTTATTTATCTGCAGGTTTTGGCCTTACCATTGCCTCATAGACCTCTTTTCCCAGGTTTCTACATGCCAATTTATGTGAAGGTATAGCTTATTCTATCTTCATAGAGGAATGTAAAATCTTTTCCAGGTTTTGTTCTTATGCAATAATGCAAATTGGATACCACATTTGGGTTTTCTAATATTTGTAGCAGGCAAGATCTGATCATAGATCTAGTTTGTGGACATGCTTGGAGTGTGTAATGTATTATTTGAATTGAAGATAAAGTTGTGCTTTTCCTCTTTAGTAACTCAACCTAACTTGCAGCTATTGCTTTTTGCTGAAACTTTACGGTCATTTTTGGATTTTTGGTCAACAGTTATTTTACTGCCAATTCTGATTTCTTATGTAGGATCCTAAATTACTAGCAGCTTTACAAGAAAACCGAAAACGACAAGCTCCCTATGCCGGTGCTTTCCTTGTTAAAGATGAGCCAGGGGCTGATTCCAGCCCAGGTTCTGAAATGGAAAAAAGTGTATATGATCTTAGAGGAAAGGATTTATTTAACCGTCTTCATGAAGTTGGCACACTTGCTCAGGTATCTGTTTTTGTAGCATTCCCCTTGGTAGTTTTACATCCTTAATCATCTTGTTAAGTTCAAAATAATACATTATACGACCAATGGGAAGAACATGCATCAACATACTCCCAATTATTAGTTTTTATCTCTAATTCTATATTTCAGATTTCAAGTATTCAGGGGGACCAGGTTGTACTTATTGGTCACCGGAGACTACGAATAACAGAGATGGTGAGTTAATGGGTCTTGGAATCAATCTGCTTAAGCTATGAATTTTGTTCCTTCTATAGAATTTCCTTTTCCTTCTTTATTCGTGGCATCTTTTCAGTGTATTGTTTTTGAACTTAAGCTATTATGGTCTCATTACAGGTCAGCGAGGAACCCCTTACTGTCAAAGTTGATCATCTCAAGGCATGTCAATATGCTATTAATTCTACATTCTGTGTTAAAATTTAATGCTATAGCTTTCTTTTCTAGTTAAGCAATAAATAATTCTACTTATAGTCTAATTCACCGGATTGCTTCTATGATGCAGGAAAAACCTTATAATAAGGATGATGATGTTATCAAGGCTACATCATTTGAGGTTATATCAACCCTAAGAGATGTTCTGAAAACAAGCTCCCTTTGGAGGGATCATGTTCAGACATATAGTCAGGTTTGTTCTTTCCTCTGACACATTAGTATCTTTTTCTGTTCAAATGCCCTCTCATTTTGTAGTCATTTTCTTTGGTTGCCCTTAAAAAGCTTGTATTCATTGATTTATTTTTTATTTTTTATTTTTTATGTTTTTTCAAGCTGCTGTTGTAAAAAAATGTGTAGTTGCAGTCTTGTCTGGTAGAATTCTACTTTTGCAATACTTCCTTTTTTCATGCATCTTGGTTTTGCCCTCGCCTGTCACTTCTTTGCAGGCTGATATTGCTTTAAATATTTTATGATTCAATCTAGTACTGTAGTGAGTCAGATTTATTTACTTGTGGTGGAAAGAATGTGGTATATGCCTATTAGTTTGATAATTTCCTAACTGATTCAATCAGTTTTTTTTTTTTTTTTTTTCTGTTAATCATGATAACATCTTATTTTTTTCCCTACTAATTGTTGTCAATTTCTGCAGCATATTGGTGATTTTAATTTTCCAAGGTTAGCAGATTTTGGAGCTGCAATATCTGGTGCAAATAAATTACAGTGCCAGAAAGTTCTTGAAGAGCTGGATGTAAGTTCTTAAAAAGCTAATTTTCATCTAGGAATAGGTCCTGTTTGGTATATTGTAAGTTACTCCAATGCAATACTGTTCTGACTCAGGTGCATAAGCGTTTACAACTCACTTTGGAATTAGTGAAAAAAGAAGTGGAAATTAGCAAGATTCAGGTACTTTATGCTATTATTTTTAGATTATTCATCCATGTTAACTTCTTTATTATTGTTTGAATTATGCTAGTCGTTGTTAACCTATACCTATTTTGGCTCATTCTTAGGAATCAATTGCCAAAGCAATTGAAGAAAAGATCAGTGGTGAACAACGCCGATACCTATTGAATGAGCAACTTAAGGCCATAAAGAAGGTATCTGGTGCCACTGTGGCATTCTATGCATTTTTGTTACTTTGTCTCCCAAGATAATTGTTATTTTGAGTTCATATTTTTTATATCCACTCCCAGTCTAATTTAATGAATTGAACATTCCAGGAACTTGGATTGGAAACAGATGACAAAACTGCTCTTTCTGGTTAGTTCTTTTTCTTGCTTCTT